GTGTCCTGTGGCCAACGGGGCATAGCTTAGTTGCACTGCTGTTCACTGTTCGTGTTGGTTAAGGACCGTTCGTTGCTATGGATTCTAGTTAGGTCACAGACTTATTATCCTGAGCACATACTTGCTTATGAGAGCGGGAAGGCTCGTTGCTCTCTTGTTGTGGGTTCCGGCTCTTTTTGGACAGACTGATTGGAGGCGGGGATGGTGGAGGTCTAAGCACCACACTGAGTCTGGGACTCAGGAGTGGGGGTTTGGAGTCCAAGTTTGGACGAGGACTTGGACCCCTTGACAGGAGAGTGGTGGGTTGGTCTTACTTGTGCTTGGGGTACAAGCGGGGCGTGTGTTTCGGGGTACCCAGCTGGGATACATTGGTTCATGAATCACCGTGTGATACGATATGACTTGGCTACGATCTAGCACCATAGTAAGAACTGTAAGATGAAAAGGAATGAATGGATCTGATTGCTCAACTCTTGCTTGAAAGTAGAACATGTGCTTACATAGAATGGTTAGCTAATAAACTAATCATGACTGCTAATAAAATACGTACATAAGGATTCACTACTAGTAATGCTTTTCGCAAAAAGGAAACCCAGCAAACCATAAAGCTTATCATATCATTTGGAGTCTGAAAATTATTCCCACTAGTCGGGTAAGTCTTGGGAGTACATTGCGTACTCAGGGTTTATTTACCCCTGTTGCAGGTGCAGCTAGAGGAATGACTGTTGTGTGGAGGATTCTTCTGGTAGGCACAGACGGATCCTTGTATCTTATCGTTAGATGTTTATTCAATTCTGCTGTTAAATTCCGCACTCTGAACTTGGTATTGTAATAATGTATTTCTGAGAACTCTTGTTGTATGAAATGGACTAAGTATTATAAACTTGTTCTCATTATTGGATCCTGGATGAAAAACATGGATTGTTTGAGTTCTCTCTTGGGGTGTGCTCGACGGAACCGCCTGGTAGCTTACTTTTGGGGTGCTTAGTATCTAGTGGAAGACGAGCGCCTCCGGAAGTGTGCTATTTCGGGCAATTCTGCCACACTAGATAACTCCGTGGATAGCTCATGGGCCTTCCCCAAGCTCAATCGGGTCTCCATGTGTCCTCTCCTAGACCGCTCTCTACCATCTTCACTATGGAGAGATTCAGCTAAACCGTCGAGGGCCTCTCATCCCTCGTTCAACCTAGCAACCACACCGCAAACACATTTGGTGTGATCTTGCAAGATTACAAGTCCCGTGTGCGCAACTCTTAGTGCACACAAGCACCGATAGCTTGGAGGTATGCAATTTCACTAAAACTGAGTCTAAACCTAGTCCACAAATGTTGTCATTAATTACCAAACCCAAATAGGACTTTCACATGGCCACGATGAAGGAGAGCGTTAAGGTGGCCTCTTGATGTGCAATTAGAGTCGTCAAGGAGTTCAATCTTGCTGAGGTGGGTTGAGCTCGGGGGAGTTGGTGTGGACGAAGGAGGAATTCGTAGCATGGCTTTTATAGCCCGAAGACAAAGGAGGTGGCCATGGTGAGTGGGGGAGTACATGAAGTTAGCAACAGGATCATGCATGACTAAGCACGTGACCCTGGCTATCATCATGGTTTATCAATGTGAGAGGTGTCCTAAAGAGAAGAAAAACTCTGATACAAATCTAGCTTGGGTTGCACTCACATAGGTGTCAGACACTCCACTGAGTTGCCTTGCCAAAGGATGCGTTCGCGATGCCTAATAATTTTTAGATTGAGATAAAGTAGACAATCTATTATAAGGGCACAGAGTTTATACTACCAAAGCAGGTAATAAGGGTGGGCCATATAAAAATTGACATTAGTTCTTAAATTTTGCACACAATCTGAGAAGAGGTAGTAAGCTAGGGCCCATAAAAATAAAAAATCAAGCCAACAACCATACTCCATCTTTCTTTATGACTTTCCATTTCCTGTCCTGATTTACCATCATCGATCTAGAACCACTGCCCATCCTTTCTGCCCTCCCATTAATCTAGAGTCATCGCCCATCAAGCCTGATGGATCAAATCCCCTTCTACCGAATCGACCTCCAACCAGACTTCATGGTGGACGTCTTCGTTCCTTCCCCCCTCTCTCCCGCCGCAAGACTTTGGTGAGCTCACCGGCTACGAGAACGTCCAGGGAAGGTACATCTATGCGTGCCAACTCGAGGTTACTCGACATGGACACCATCAGTGATACGAGTCTCTCCTGAGAAGGAGGGAGGATGAGAAGAAGATAGAGAAATTTTTTTTACTCTTTCTTGTCGGATAATAATATAGCACTATTAATGCCAGTAACAATAATCTACTCATCAGTTTTCATGTACAATATATCCTCTGTTTCGGTTTATAATGTATCCTACCACCAATAAGGCCTTATTGTATCCTTTCTTATATCTCCTTCTTACCTTCAACTGACCAAACACTTATAGGTGAGTAGGCGTGCGTCCACAGCCAGAGGATTCAACCAAACACACATCATTCGATCAAAAAAAACCAAACACACATCACACCCGGACCAGCGGGGCCCGCACCACCATTGCATCGGCACGCGCTCTCGGGCCCGCACCACAACACGAGCAGACAAATAGCCTGGGACATTTAACTTTTTGCCATCCTTACGGATGGCACTCCTTCGTTTGCCATTTTTACACGAGCACCTACACATTTGCCATCGCAAACAGTAACCCTCCTATTTTTTTGTCATTTTTGCTGATGTGGCATGCCACGCAGTCAGCCAACGTGGCAGCGCCTCTCCTCCCGCTGCTGCTTCTCTCTCCCTCCACTCGCTGACATGTGGGCCTCACCAGTCAGGTTCATCTTCAACCTTTGGCCACCGGAGAAACTATCCCCATAGTGCAGATGTCTTCATGCAATAAATGTGAATCTTTTTTCACTGTCTCTCTCTTATCCCTCCGATGCTCTCTCCTATGTTCTCTGCCAACCAAACCAAAGCGTGGCGGGCGCGGTCGATGCGGGCTAGGCCGGGGCGCGGCGGTGCGACCGCCGTGGGCAAGCGGGGCTGGCTCGGACGACCGGTGCCGGTGCAAGCGGGCGGACGCGATGGCGCGCCGAAAGTCTGGCGAGAGGGCAGTCTGCGGCACGATGCGCGCGACCGATGTGGGCGGACCGGGGGCGGCGCGCCGACGTGGCTGAGCGCGGCGGCGGCGCGGCGCTCCGCCAGGCGAAGCGGGACGGCTCGGGAGAGCGGTGCTTGGCGGCGGGCGAAGCGCGTGAGCGTGGATGGCAGGCAAGCGCGGCGGGCGGCTTGGTGGCGGAGGTGGCGTGGTGGCGGATCGACGTGGCGTGGGCAAGGGCGCGGTGGTGAGAGCGAGCCGGTGTGGGCGGGCACGACATGGGTGAGTGGGGCCGGTGTGGGCCATCCTGAAAACCGGTGGTTTCTTCCCACTGGCCAGAGGTTGAAGATGAACCTGACTGGTGGGGCCCACATGTCAGCGAGTGGAGGGAGAGAGAAGCAGCAGCGGGAGAAGAGGTGCTGCCATGCTAGCTGACTGCGCGCATGCCACATTAGCAAAAATGACAAAAAATTAGAAGTGTTACTATTTACTATGGCAAATATGTAGGTGCCCGTGTAAAAATGACAAATGAAGGATAGCAAAAAGTTAAATGTCCCAAGAGCCGCCGGCAAGGTTTTCTTGAGAAAATTCTCTATTTGACACCGGGAAAATGACTCGTTCCTTTATTAGCTCTGAAATTTTCTTCGTTCCTTATTTGACACTCATTCCAACTTTCATCCCTAACATGACACCGAATCTATTCCGTTAGCTAACAACGTTAAGTGCCTGTTGAAAAGACCCTTTTGCCCCTCCTCATCACTGCTGCCGTTCAGGAGCGCGCATGACTGGACGTTCAGGAGCGCTTGCACGCTGGGCGCATGCCGACTGGGCATTTTTCCTTTTTTTTTTCATGCACGCTGGGCGCATGCATGACTGCCGTTCAGCTTCCTTATTTTTTTCATCATTTTTGTACAGCATATTTTTCAGTCTGTCGTTTATCATCATTTTTTTCAATATTTGTACAACATTTTTTATAACATGTCTACATCATTTTTTCAACAGATACACAAGCAATTTTTTAACAAACCTACAGCATACAGTTCACCACTACCTGAAACTGGATGTTTGCTGAGTGCAAGAATGTTTACCGAGTGCATTCTATCGGGCACTCGGCAAAGAAGCTCTTTGTCGAGTGCTGTAAAAAAAACACTCGATAAAATAATTGCACTCAGTAAAAGAGGCAAAAAAAACACTCGGCAAAGTTTGACACTCGGCAAATGAGAAAAAAACACTTGGCAAAAGCTATGCATTCGGCAAAGAACCGCCACGTGGACATCCATTAGTCCGTGTGCCATCCGTTAGTACGTTTGCCGAGTGTTTTTTTTTACAGCACTCGGCAAAGAGCTTCTTTGCCGAGTACCCGATAGAATGCACTCGGTAAACATTCTTGAACTCAGCAAACATCCAGTTTCAGGTAGTGGTGAACTGTATGCTGTAGGTTTGTTAAAAAAATGCTTGTGTATCTGTTGAAAAAATGCTATAGACATGTTATAAAAAATGTTGTACAAATATTGAAAAAATGATGATAAACGGCAGCCTGAAAAATATGCTGTACAAAAATGATGAAAAAAAAATAAGGAAGCTGAACGGCAGTCATGCATGCGCCCAGCGTGCATGAAAAAAAAGGAAAAATGCCCGGTTGGCATGCGCCCAGCGTGCAAGCGCTCCTGAACGCCCAGTCATGCGCGCTCCTGAACGGCAGCAGTGATGAGGAGGGGCAAAAGGGTTTTCTCAACCGGCACTTAACGTTGTTAGTTAACGGAGGGATGAAAGTTGAAGGAGTGATGAACGAGTCATTTTCCGGGTGTGGAATTGTCCCTTTTCTTTTCCCATCCCACTTCTCCGCGCTGCCTCCAGATCGAGAGCGTTAGGGTTTCTTCATCTGCCCCTCGCCCGCCGCCGCAGCCGCCGATGGCCGAGCGCTGGCGCTCGAGGGCGCGGCGGGACCCAGACCTGGACGAAGATGGGTCCCCGCCTTCCCGGCAGCCGCGCCCCGGCGCTGGCGGCGACGACGACGAGCTGGGGAACGAGGACCTCAGCCTGGAGATCGTCGCGCGCGCGCAGCGGAAGCGGCGCGGGGCGTCCGGCGGCGGGGTGCCCGGGTTCGCCGACCTGCTCTCGGTGTCCTCCGGCGACGAGGAGGTCGACGAGGATGCCGTGGTGGAGCTCGCTGAGGCGGATGAGCCCCGGAGGAAGCAGAAGAAGAAGGAGCGCCGGAAGCAGAGGAAGAAGCATCGGAAGGAGGCGACCGAGGCTGCAGCGGCGGACACCGTAGAGGAGGAAGAGAAGGAGGTAAGCTTGAGGCTTGAGCATTCCCCTCCCCCTAGCTCTTACTCCTTTGGTATGGGTGTTGTGTTCTATTCAACAGTGAAGGTTCAGTGCTTTATAGCTAAGCAATCCCTGCCTAGTGCCTACCACCCCTCTAGTGTGGGTGTTGTGTTCAATTCAACAGTGAAATTCGTGGTTCAATGCTTGTAGCTAAGCAATCCCCTATAGAATTGAGTGATTGTACTCCCTAGTGCCTACTCCCCCTCTATTGTGAGCTTAGGGGAAGCTTCTGAGTTAAGCTGATTAGGAGTGCAAAGTAGCATCTTTGCTCGTCCTGCTATTGCTTGTCAGAATTAGCTGCTTTCATTTGAAATTGAAGATTATCTGAAGACTGATATCCCGAGTGCCTTCTTTTGCTGGGGATTAAGTTAAACCTTTTGAGCTCAGTGTTACTTCCTTGGGAACAAAATGCTAGGTTTATCTCCTTTAGAGGCAGTAATGAGTGGTGGATTTATTCTTTTTGGCTTCAGGTTGGTAGCACCCAGGAGGGGCCAATTGGGACAGCAGAATCGGTGCTAACTGAAGATGGGGCTGATGTCCCTGCATCTGACAATATGGTTCTGCGAAAGCTCCTTGTAAGTGACATGTGAATTTATTGTGTTTGTGCTGCTAATGTAAGCTTACCATTGTGTGGCTTCTACTTGTGACCAGCGCATACCAAGATACTTTGATCCTGGGGAAACTTTGTTGGAGACTTGTTTTAATTGTAGCGAGGAAGGACATGTAGCTGCAAACTGCCCAATGGAAAAGCGGAAGAAGCCTTGCTTTGTTTGTGGGCTGTTCGGGCACAATGCAAAGCAGTGCACGCAGGTTGGTCCCCCTATCTCCGAGGGATTATCACTCGGTGACTTGGGTATGTCCATTCATGCCCTTGACTTGCTCAATCTATTTAGTTTTTGTTGTTTGAGTGTAATGTTTCTATGTAGGATGATAATTCAACTCTTTTAATTTTAACATGTTTCAGCTTGTTTAGGTTTCAATTTTCTCAATCATGCAAGCAAATGTACTTTGCCCAAGCTGTGATGTCTTCAAGAAATATATCTTAAGCTTGTTACTTGGAACAGGCTTACAATATCTGCATTGCATTGTTAAGAACACCTGTATTTCTAGTAGAAAAGGAAATATATCTTGAACTTTGTTACTTCAAACATTTTTATAAAATATTCCTTCTGTTTAGCTCCTGCCTCTCTATGAATGCATGTTTTTTAGACAGAAAGGAAGTTCATTAATCATTACTGATTTGGTGTACCAAGTGCACAGGATGTGATATCTTAGCACAACACATATGTTTCCTTCAAATTACATCTACTATTAACTTTGGTTAAACAGATCGTCTTTTGATTCCTGTACTTTATACCTTTTAGCTCTCGTCACTAAGTTCACTTTTCCTATTCTCATGCTTATTCACCCCATTTGAGCATTATCTTTATCTTTATCTTTATGATTTATAATTTCAAATTTTTTTTGATATATTCCTTTCCATATTCATGCCTGCCTTTGTATTCAAAAGTAAAGAATGATCAAGTTTTCTTTTGTTTGTTTGAATCTTCTGTGTTATTCATCTGTTTTGGTACTATTATCTGTATATATTTCTCTTGTAATGATTTTTGTGATGGTTCTTGTCGGTGTTTAGCATTCTCAAGAATAAACAAACCATTATTTCACAGGGTCAAGATTGTTTCATCTGCAAAAAAGGAGGCCATATGGCGAAAGACTGCCCTGATAAGCACAAGAGAAATGATCATCAATTCACATTATGTTTAAGATGTGGAGAAACAGGTCATGATATGTTTGGATGTACCAGTGATTACCCACCAGATGATATCGAGGTAGTTCTTCTTTGCCTTGTTTAAGCTAATTTGTTATCTTGTTGCCATAATGGTTTTTTGTTTGTTTGTTGGCATTTGTTTTCCTCTAGTGTTGGTCTGAAGAAAAGCCTATACATGAATTAAATATGAGCTAGATTTTTTTTATTTTTGGATGCAAATTGTTGCGGGCTAGGTGACTAGGCTGTAAATGTTTGATGTTTCTGTAGGTAAACCGGGTAAATTTTATGCTGTGCCTTCCCTTCCATAACAGGACCCCTGAAACTTGCATGTGCAATGTTTTGAATCTACAACATGTATTACAGGATAAGATAGGTGCCCTCTATGTAATACTCTGTACTTAACTATTTGTGCAGTGCAATAGTGTCCCAGCTGCAAGGTTAAGAGTCACAAAGTCATAGATTGTGTAGAAGACCTTACCCCTTAATAATTGTATTTTTGATTATGCAGCAAATAAGATGCTACGTGTGTAATCAGAAGGGCCATCTATGTTGTTCCGACTTCTCTGACAATTGTCCGAAACAAATTAGCTGTTATAATTGTGCTCAATGTGGTCATTCTGGTCTGGTAAGTTTTAATGCTTATTATTGTAAATCATCTAGTTGTACTGTTGCCACATGTTGCTTCTCATGGCAGGTGATTAACATTGGACCTTCTATTATAGGGATGTGCCAAGCAACGCAGGGAAACTAGTGCTGTCACAACTCCAACCTTATGCTACAAATGTGGTGAGGAAGGTCACTTCGCACGTGGCTGCACAAAGAATGCCAAGGTTGTTATAAGCATCCCACAAATTATTTTCCAATAACAGTAGTTACCTGTATTTAAGTTTCTGTTCTTTTTCCTTCTGCAGTCCGATTGGTCGAAAGGCAAGTCATCATCACACAGTCAGAGGAAGGAAAAATGGACAAAGGATCCCAGTGCTAGATCAGCTCCTCATGATGCCCGTAAAACAAGCAAAAGGAAAAGCCCCCATTTTGACGAAAGAATGGACACATCTCATCACAAATCCAAATCGAGAGGTGGGTGGACTGGTGGTGATGATCTACCATTTAAGAAGTACAAATCCAATGGATGGGGTTCCGTATCTACTCCCAAGAAATCTTACACAAATCACCAATTCTTATCTGGTGATGACTATTTCACTCCCCAGTCTTCACGAAGGCACAACCATGGTACCACGTCACCGAACTCGAATTATTCACCCAACACTAAGAAACATGGTTTCTCATCATCAAGATTCGCCGCCAGCAACACCCATGTCCGGTTCGGAAGAAGTTAGCTGGATGCACGTGCCTGATTTTGTTGTTTGTTTAGCCATAGATAACAATTATCTCCTGGGGATGAACTCTGACTGTTGGGTTCATGCCCATTGATAGTTTTGCCCCCATTGATAGTTTTGCCTAAGATTAATTATATATGTAATCCGGTTCAATCTATTTTGTTCTTTACTGTGAGCAAGCTTCCATAGTATGGCGTTGCCCTCCAGATAATGCCTTTGCAAAAACGGCAACTGAAAGTCTGTAACTGTCCGTTGATCCTCTCCCTGGTGTTTGAATGGGCAGTGCAGCACTGCCATCACTGATGCGGCATTACATGCAAATGGTAACTCGTTAAAGCACATGTCTCCTTAAAAAGTCGGTAAATCTGTACATTACTCTAAGTGTTGCTCTCCTCCACACTCGATTCCTCTCCATCTTCGGCCTCTCCCTCTCTTCTTTCTCAACTTCGATGGGCTTAGAAGGGGCTTGGAGGATGCAGGGCGGTGTTAGGATTTTGGTGGTGGAAGAGGCGGCCGGGCCAGGGGAGGTGGTGACACGCCCGCACGGATGGCATCCAGCTGCCCGTTGCCGGTGGCCACCATCAATAGCAGCACACCACGTTCAGTTTCACAGTTGAGGCAAACTTGAATTATTCACCCAGCGCTAGGAAACATGGGTTCTCGTCTTTGCCGCCAGCAACACCCATCACGTGCCAGATTTTGTTGTTCGTTTAGCCATAGATAATGCTTATCTTCTGGGGATGAACATCTGTTGGTTCATGCCCTTTGATAGTTGTTTTGTCTAAGATTATATATGTAATGTGGTTCAATTTATTTTTGACTGAGCAAGCTTCCTTGGCATTGCGCTCCAGTTCATGCCTTATGCAAAAACAGCATCTGAAAGTATGTAACTGTCTTTTGAGCTTGAGCCTTTCCCTGTTGTTGTCTGAATGGGCAGTGCAAATGGCAACTCGTGAAAGCACATAGCCACTAATGTTGGTCTGTCCTTAAATATCTCTGTTTGGTCAAATGAACTAATTTGTTCGAACCATGAAAAAAATAATCCAAGTACAATAGAACAATGTGGGGAGTCACAATTCATGTAGCCCTTGCGGTTTTACTTTCTCATTCAGTTATGCCTGTAATTATTCTAGAGTGTTAATAGTGTAATGCTCGTTCAGTTTATATTCTGCAAACAGTTTATTTTTCTACAAGCTACTGTACATAATCGTATCATCATGCAAGTGATGCTGATGAACGGCTGGTCCCCTTCTCAAGCTGCTCACAAATATGGGAATATTCTACTTGTTCCTCCGACAAGTATGGGAATATCCCAGTTGTTCCTCTACACAAATTGGTCAGGATCAAAAGGTTTGTATCAAGGTTTTTAATTTCGGTATCGCAAAAATTTCGGTCACCACCAAAATTACCGAATTTCGTGAAATTCAGCCGAAATTTCGCTGATTTTTTTAGAGATTAGGACATGAAGTATGCTGTTTCTATGAAAGTTTAGATCTAAACAAATATTAGTATGATCTATGACTACACATTTATTGAATAGAAGAATATGCAATATAAACAATAGAAAAATACAAATCTAGAGTTATATAGCACATGTATTAGTGTACTACAAATTTCGGAGTTTTCTTTCGACCACCACCGAAATTACCGTGAAATTCGGCCAAAATTTGCTGAAATTTTGAACCCTGGTTTGTATATTGTATAAGCATTGTGAGGGCTCTTAAGTATGGATGAAAATGGTACGGATATTTATTCGACCGTCCGTTCGACCGAACAAATATGAACACTTATCTGGATAGTTACTCGGATATCCATAATTTTTTTCGGATACGGATAATAAAACGGATATCTTAGGCGGATATCAAATACGAATGTAATATCATCGATATCCGGCGGATATCGGATAATCCGGTTAAGTATCGGATATATCCGGATATTATTTAAACGGATATTATCCGGATATTATTCAAACGATCTTGGATGGAGAAATGATCAAAATAAAAATTGTAGATCTCAAAAGGTTATGAAACATTGTTGTTTACAACTTTTTCATTTGAAATCATTTAGTGCTTCAAAATGCTATTTGAATTTTAATTTCGAAATGGTTAAAGAACGCCTATTTCTCTTTTTAATCTTTGGCTAAAACTTGTAACTAGTTTTTCTTCCTCGTACTAACTTCAAATTTGATAATTTTTTTTCTAAAATTTTCTAAAATCATGTTCTATCAATTTATTGTGTTCTTATAGCTATTATTGCGTTCATCTTTTCATGTGACTGTATTCTATCTATTTGAATTTTGAATTTCAAAAAATAACAACTTCAAACGTCATTTTCAAACATTAAATGACTTCAGCTGAAAAAGTCATGAACATAAAAGTTGTAAAACTCATCAAGATCTACAACTTTTATTTTGGTCATTTGTTCATCCGAGATTATGGTAGTAACATTGTTCACAAAATTTATATCTCTCTCTTGTAGTTTCATAAACTATAAGAGAGATGTGTGAGATTCGTGAATAATGTTACTACCACTATGTCGGATGAACAAATGACTAAAATAAAAGTTGTAGATCTCAGAAATTTATGAAACTTTATAGTTGAAAACTTTTTTATTTGAAATCATCTTGTCAAGGAAAACTACGTTTGAATTTCTCAAATTTAAAATTTAGATTTTTCAAACGACCTCAGAATCTCAGATGGAGAAACAAACAAAATGAAAGTTTTAGATCCCAAAAAGTTATGAAACTTTGTTGATTACAACATTTTCATTTGAATTTGTTTAGGGCCCCAAACAATAATTTTTTGCTTTTTTTTGTCTCGAATTGTGATTTTTGGAATTGGGCCAAAATATTACTTCTTGCCCAAACGGCCCAATCCTCTATAACCCTAGCTAAGCTAGCTGGCCCATATATATATATATATATATATATATATATATATATATATATATATATATATATATATATAATATCCGAATAGATATTTGTATCCGACCTTCTCCGAATCCGATTCATACCGAATAGATATTTGTATCCGATACTCATTCCGATTCATACCGTATCCGTAACTCAAGTCAATCCAGATCCGTAATTATATCCATGTATCCGAACGCTATCCGTGTCCGAATCCGAATCCGAAAAGAAATATAAAAACAAATATAATATGAGTGATATTCGTTCGTATCCGATCCGTTTTCATCCATACTCTTAAGTAGTGCGCGGGTGCTGCAAACAGATGCAGCGTGCGGTTCTTTCTCTGCCACTTTTCTTCTTTTTCGTCAACCCCACCAGCACACTGCCGCTCCCAATCTCTGCCAGCGGCTCACCCACCACCGGCCGCACCGCCCACCGCCCACCGCCCACTCCCGCCCTCTCCTAAATCCAATCGAAGGAGAAAGCTTGGCCACCTCACCCCTATCGTTGGCATCGCCCATCCGGTTGTGTTCCACCGCTCGCTCGATGGTGTCTCTGTCGCCGAGCTCACCGTCCCTTGACCCGCCACCACCACCACCACGCTAACCACAGCCGCCAACCCCTCCCTTTCTAACCCCATTAGTCATGGAGACCCCCTTTCCCGAAAATTCAAAACCCTAACCCTAAATCTCACCACCGTTGGCTCCTCCACCGCCTCCACCTGAGACAACGTCACCGCTGGCCACCCCGCCCACTGCCCGCCCCCTCCCTCTTCTAAGTTTGCCGGCGCTCTCACTTGTGCGTTGCTTGTGGGCCAAATAAAGATTGTGCAACGCTCTGCTTTGCATCGCACCGTAGTCATTGTTTCATTTATGGCTGGTGTTTTTATAAACTTAGCCTACTTATCAATAATTTAATACCAAAACTACAATTTTTAGCATGGCATATAAAGACAAATTAAGGTGGCGCAAGTTCAATACATATCGAATTTTTTATATCCAAAATAAGTTTGTCTAGCTACTTTGTGTTTTAAATAAAAATAATCACTTGTTCTCCTTTTCATTCAGATACTATGCTTTCTCTGATTTTTTAGTGTCAGAGTGTGACAAAATATCTGACCTATACTATTCATTGCCACATTGGCTTGGTCTAAGTTTATATCGTTTGTCATGAACAATATCATCGTTTCCTATTTATTTATATCTGTTATAATTACTACAGGTGAATAGCTCACGTATGATTGCTTCATCTGTTTGACTGTTTCTGCTTTGGTTGTACGCCTACTGCTGTCGTTCTGCTGGCTTCAGTGGTTATCCACTTAAGTCCCTCACCGGTCTGTTCCTCTATTTCACCAATCTTGTGGTGTTCACATACCACATTTCCCGGTGAATTATGTCCCATACAATCAGTACATTTCTCCATTTTTTATTCCACCCCCTACTCTTCACCCTTTGTTTGGGTAATGGTACATTTGCTCAGCCATTTTCAAAACTGGAGCCATGTACCCAGCACCTGGTGGAAGCACATGAGTTCTGCCTCCTGTCAAATATTCAGTTCTTTCATTCAAGCCTGTTGCTAACACTGGGAGCAGGCATCTATTTGAGTTCCTGGTTGCTATGGAACAATATGATTCTAGTCCATCAGTTTACACTAACAATGCACCTGTGTCATCTGGAAATCCGGTAGAGAATCACGACGGTGTTACTTCATCTCAGTTCAAGGAAAGTAGCATCTATATTGCTGGGCTCCAGTTATGATTTTGTTAGAAAAGCATGCTATTCTGCTAAAAGGAGGAACTGTGCTGAAATCTATTTTCATCTACTGAATCAGCTCGACTGTTTAAGATTGCAATAGGAAGCTTAGTACTCATGTTGAACTGCTGTGTTGCAATACGATGAACAGAGTATGAAGAATCATCAGCATCCGTAACATGAACAAGGTCAGTAGCATGAACATCACAGGCTAGACCGTCCTCCATCTAGTCTGATGCCCCAGCCGAGTCCTCCTTGAGGCAGGAGACAACGCTGATGCCCAAGGCTGCAAAGCAACACATCCCTAGCTATGTCAGGCTTCCTTGATGAGCTCTCGC